AATTTCCCTAGCATCAGCCAGTGTGAGCTACCGAACTCGAAGCTCTGCTTGTCCTAGGCAAGAGCGCCCTCACCTTGCTGCTCCCTGCGCAGCGCTCGGCTTCCCCTCGGCCGAACCGCCGCTAGGTCCCGAGAGCGCCTTTCCTCCCTGGCTGAGGCTGCCAATGCCGCCCGGGCTCAGCAGTCTAAGTCACTTTAACTCGAGGAAACAACGCTGGGTCCCTGCCCATAAGATTTCAATTTTCGCCATCATGCCTCTCTCCAACTTAACCCAGGAGTCCGGGAGGTTCCGGGAAGGCCAACAGGAAACCTCAGCTAAGCCCCCAAATTCGCTTCGGGCTGAGCCAACCTGTGTCTGCGACGCTTGCAGCCACTCTCGGGACAGCCAGGCTCTGGAGCTTACACCGCTGTCCCCTAAGTGTGCATTAAGAATCAATTATTTGCCTGAGATTCCCAAAGCCGGGAACTGGGATATTCCCAGCAGGGACAAAGTCAAGCCCAGAACGGTGCTCATTTCCCTAGTCCTTCGAACAGGCAGAGGAGAAGCCTCCCACCCCATACCCCGCACTCTACCTGGATTTGTTCCTCATCCAAAGGGGGGAGTGAACAGGGGGGTCGTGCCTGACCCAGGCCAAAAAACTGCGGGTGGATGGCCAGCTGTGGGGGAGGTTGGCAATATTCACGTGAAAATGGGGAGGAGGAGCGTTCAACCCACCCACCCCACCCACCCCCCAAAAAAAGAAAAGAAAAAGGAACTTTAGAATGAGGCCAGTCCTTGGCTGGAGTCTAGAGCAAATAGTTTGTCTCAAATAAAGAGAGCAAATACCTACGGGTTTAAATGTTAAGAACGTCCAGTTAGGATATTCTCGCAGTTGCGGTAAAACAAATCATATTTCCATGAAATGAATGACTTTGCGCTTTGGGACCTATTTCAGTCTCCCACTAACCTTTCTCCATATAAATTTGCCTGGTTTCTCTTCATCCCTTTTTCCAGGTCCCTCTTTGCCACGTCTACATCCTCTTTACTTAGGGATGCACTGTGACTTTCTGCCGACTTGGAAAAAGCATGCATTTCCTCAGCTACTTCCTTTATAGCACACTCCACTAAGGATTTTTTTTTTTTTTTTTTTAAAGAGGACCACTTTAGCCAGGCACCTCAAAGTCGTGGTTTAAACCTCAGTCGAAAGCAGTCAGGCGTAGCCCTCCTCCCCTCCGAAAATCACTTTCACTTACCGATCTTGGGGTAAGAGCGCTCACAGTCCGTAAGTCTTTTTCTTTGGCATCCTGCGGACAACCTCAGGCAGTCTTGGGTGGAGGAAAAAAACAGATAGAAATCGGAAGCGAGAAAATAGATTCAAACCATAACAGTATATCACATATTCCCCAGAGCTACCTTGGCCTACACCGTGAGGACAAAGTCCCGGTGAACTGACCCCTACAGTGGTGAAAAGGTCGGTTTGGGGGCCAAAAACTAAGAGGTGGATTATTTTAACTGCCGGTGGTTGGGGGAAGGGGAGGTCCTGGGGGGGGGGGGGTAGGGAAAGGGGAATAATTGGGATGAGAAAAGAAAGCCTTAAAAGGAAAAAACAGAAAACAAAACTAACTAAACTAACAAAAAAACGCACATTCACAAAAATCCAAAATGAGATATACTGTGGAAGATACTGCCTTTGAGCTCTTACAGGTAGGCAGCTCTGCGAGAGAATGCTGACACGCGTGTATGAGTGAAAGGAGAATCTAGATGACCCCTATTCTTCCCAGATCTTCAGGATCTGGCTTCAGCCCGTAGGAAAAAAAAAGGGGGGGGGAGTAGAATTTTAATTCAAGTTTCACCTACCCTGCTTGTTGGAATGGCTGCACAGATTTTCATGTTGGAGAGTTCCATCTGTCTGGCAGAAGCTGGAGTGGTGTTGAGGGCAGGTTATCTGGGGAAGTAGGAATGTACAGGAACCCCGCCCTCTAGGCACAGTTACACAACCCCAGCAACCCAACTCAGCCAGCTCTAAAACCTCTAATGATCTTCACCTTCACCCTTTGTTAGCCTATTTCTCCAACAGGCATTTAGTCCCAAACACAACCAGCCACTTTAGCTAGCCATAAAATCAATCTCTCAAAAGCAAAATTATTTCAATGCATGCAAGTTCCTCAACAATGTTGTAGAAAATACACTTTTTAGAAATCACATTTATATATTTAGAGCTCTAAATATATTCTATTTATCCACCTATGTGGATGAAATATCCAACTTTATATATATAATTAACCAATACACTACTAGACTTATTTTTTTGCCTCTCTACCCTTAATTTTATGCAAGTCATAGAAACCACATGAAATCTTCCATAGTCATAAAGATATTTGTATAAATCTTGAAACATATTTGCAAGAATCCTTTCCTGTTCTAACTAAATCACTTTCTTAATGTTTTATATATTAATAACTTATATTAACTTTATACCAGACAAATTCAAGTAAAATACTTTAAACCTAGAAATAAGCCATAATTTGGGACTTCAAGTTATAAGTTGTGGTCACTTTTAGTTCCAAAATCTCAAAAAGTACAATTTTATCTCTTCAAAACCAGTTGTAAGTATGAAAGAATAAACACTTCAAAAAGTTTTGAAATGCGTTTTCTGGCATAAGATAATTTTAACTGGCAACAATTGATGAAAATAAATATCAATGCAATATTACAACCAATTTGTTGCAAAATTTTCTATTAAATTCCACACTACACTGTCATGTAATTTTGAAGATAGTTTCAAGGATAAGACAGACTGAAGTAAATGAAATGTTCATATTGGGCCGCAGGAGGCCTTCACAAATTTCTCTCTGCCCCCCTTTGTATCTAGTAAACCTACTAAACAAGCTATTTTTGTTTATCACATCCATTATATATGTAACTTGGACATGTATCTAAGTAGAATTTCCACTACAGTCTTTAGTTTCTATGAATTCAAAGAAATCAGTTTTAACCTTGACCTCAAATTATGACGTTAGCCATTGAAATTCTATTTCTCCATCATGCAAATAAACACTCACCACAAAAAAATATTGCTATCTAATATGGCCAAAAAAATACTCAAGGGGGAAATCTTTCTTCCAGCTATGTCCTTTTAACTCAATATGAGTTCAACTTTTTCATCAACTTTTGATCCGCAAAACACTATATTTCTTCTGTGCCAGTACATTCTCATTCCACAAATAAAATCTACTGGTAAAGCGAACAACAACACAGCATCACCTTTTTCAGTCTAAACACATGCTTTTCTTTCAGCTGTTTTCATTCACAAATGCATCAGTGGGGATCTCCTTTGCCTAACCTCATTCAATTGGACTCTATCACTATTTTTCATACCAGCCATAAATCTGGCTTCCAGAACAATTTATTTGTGGGATTGTCTTTCATGCTTCATTCTGAAGAACTGCTAAACTTCAACAAACTTGGACCTTTGGTGGCACTCTTCTCATATGAAGAAAATAAAATCATGCCCAGTCTGCTTAAAGGAGATAATTAAGAAGTCTTAGCCTATTTGGTCCATTCCCTATTTGTACACACTTGGTTCCAACTCTTTTAATTTTCCTGGTCCTTGTCTTTCTTTCCTAGACATCTCTCTCTCTCTCTCTCTCTCTCTCTCATTCTTTCTTTCCTTTTGGTAATTTTTTTTTTCAGTTTAAATATCCCTTTCCACTCTCCTCTCCTTCTCTCTCACTTTCCTCTTCTATCTCTCCATTCACAACCCACCCATAACCATGCTCCAATATTAACTGTTCTGTATTTCTATTTCAAATCTATTTGAATCACCCTTACTTCTCTCCTAGGCTTTTTTTTTCCCCCTGAGCAACTCTCTAAGTGTTTGCCGATAACATCTTGGGGACAGATTATTTTTCATTGGGCCCATTGTAAGAAGTAGCCAGCTTATTGCATTACTGCAGAACACATTTCAGACTATACAACTGTAACAAATGAACAACTTGTCCTCCACGGACTCACCACAGGATCCAATTAGTTACTAAACCTTTTACTTAGGTTTTCTAATTATTTTCTGGACTCACAGCAATTGGACTTCTGAAACAATTCAAAAATGTTTTCATTTTGTTTCAGATTTTTATATATATGCATATATATGCATGCTTATGTATATTGCAAGTTAAAATTATGACTGTAAGCAAAACAAACAATCTCTAGATTATACAGGTGTATCTAAAAGGGGTTCAATAAAATGAATACCTCTACATTGTAAAAATGAAAGAAAATGAGAAAGAGGCATTTTACTGCTTCTAAACATCTAGAATTTTAAATTGTTATAATTTAAAAATAAAATATAAACATTGGTCTGCAAGTCATTACAACAGGTGATCACTTCAGCAAAATCTATATTGCAACTTCAGCACATCTTTATTAGAACTCTTTCATTGTGAGTAAACAACGACCAAAATAAATGCTGACTTAATATAAATACAAATATTTAAACAAAAATATTTGCAGCATTCATAACGCAAATTTTACCTGAACTGAAGAGCTCTGTGTGTCTATATATATGTATATATATATATATATATTACATATGTGTGTATTATATTCACTTCTATCTAACCATATACATTTACAGTTTGCCAAGTGGTATAAACAAGATACCCAAAACAAAATATATAAAAAGTAAGCATTCTATTGACTGATTTGAAAATAAACACAAGGTAAATGCCTATGCACATTAAATAAAATCATCTCTTTTTTAGTATATCTACAGAAACTTAAAAATTTATCAGCTGAAAAGCCTATATTTTGTTTAAAGCTAGTGTTTATTAAATAACCTGCTCCTTTGTAAAATTTGGTTCCATAATGGAAAAAATACTCTTTTCATTTTTGATGTCTCAGTTCAAATGAAAGGAGCAGTTTAAATTTTATTTGGCTGAAAAAGCCTTTGAATTCCCTATAACTTTAATGGTCTTTTAAAAATTAGCTCTACTTAATAAAAGAGACAAAAGTATCAAGATATATATGAATTTAGCCTATTTTTTATTTCTGTGTGTTCATAGTAAACATTTTTGTAAGTGACAAACACGGGCATATGACCACAGTATCACAATCAAGAAATTTTAAGACAACATTAACAATCACTCAAATTTATGCGGCATTTGCGCAACACAGGTTACATATTTGCAAGGTTTACCTATAAGTACAATAGGTATTAACATTTCACTACATTTAGAAAAAATAAAAGTGACCTGTTAGTGACCACATACATCAAAATATACACAACACAAACTGAAGGCAATCATTAATTTTGTCCCCTTCCAATTCATTTGAATGGGCAGTGCTGCCAACTGAAACAACTTTCATTTTGTTTGTTTGTTTGTTTGTTTGTTTTAATACTTAGTATACCAAGTGCATTTTCTAGAACCCAATCTTTGGTCTAAAAGTAAACAAAAGGAAAAAACAGTTTTTAAAAGAAAAGGACAAAACAATAAATGGCCAAAATAATTTCTTGGGCACCTTTACTACGAATGCTTCTTAAATACAAATTACAGTTTAACATTTAAAAACTCTCCCCATAATTTAGGTTGTTCTCAAGGTCTGCGTCCACCATTTAGATCCATGATAACTTATAATACTGCACACATGGAAATTTGGCGGCTCTTATAGACTTGTCAGGTTTGAATGAAATGGCAAAGCAGTCACTATTTAGATACACATTCTACTATAATTTTGACTTCCAAACCTTATATTCTACAATGTATTCTCCCCACATTGCACCTCGCTGACACTCCACACCTTGTTAGAATAATAAACAACCCTAAAGACTGAACAAACGTACAGAAATGAGGGGGGGGGGGCTTAATAAAAAATACCTGGACTTATTTTTTAATTATCATTTACAATGCAAATGTGTGTAAAACGTTCACTTACAGTCTGGTCCCAGGGATGTTAATGTATTAAAGGGTTGGAAGAAGACCCCTGGTTTTGATGTGTGAAATAATCAGACAGTCCCCCGGACAGTCCCGTCGTGAAACTTGGCAAAGAGGGTCTTAAAGACTCACAGGGCAGGGTCGAGGGGGCCTGCGGAGACGTGGAGGAGGACGCGGCCCGGGCGCTCATGGACGTGCTGCTCTGCGAAGTCATTGACGGGTGCGGGACGTGGGGGAAAAAGTAACTGGTCTGGCCCGCGAGCAGGTTGACTGAGCAGGGGTTGAGGGAGTAGGTCCCGGAGCAGGGCACCGACAGGCCGCAGGGCACCGAGGCGGCGAGCGCGGCGGCCGTGAGGTGGTGCGTGGCGTACGGGATCTCCCCGTTGACCAGCCGGTCCACGCTCAGGCCGTTGGCCGTGGAGAAGGAGTGGTTGTTGCCCAGCGAGTTCTGAGTCAACACGGAGCTGTAGGGCATGGGGTGGCTGGGGTAGGCCGACGTGGTGCCATTGTAACTCAAAGTGCTGCTGGCGCGGGGGTGGTGCAGGGACAGGAAGGGCGACATGGGCCAGTAGAGGGAGCCGGCGCGGTCCATGAAGGTGAGGCCGGTGGAGGTGAGGCGCGCCCCGCGCTTGAAGGCCAGCTTGGCCCGCGACGTGGTGGAGCGGCGCCGCAGCTTGCCAGTCGTGCCGCCGATGAACACGTCGTCGCTCGACGGGTCCAGCATCCAGTAGTTGCCCTTGCCCGGGTCGTCGTAGTGGCGCGGCACCTTCACGAAGCACTTGTTGAGGGACAGGTTGTGGCGGATGGAGTTCTGCCAGCCCTGCTTGTTCTCGCGGTAGTAGGGGAAGTTCTTCATGATGAACTCGTAGATGCCGTTGAGCGTGAGCCGCTTCTCGGGGCTCTGCCGGATGGCCATCATGATGAGCGCGTTGTAGCTGAACGGCGGCTTCTCGTACTTGCCGTTCTTCTTCTCGCCCTCCTTGCCCCCCTCCCCGTCCTTGCCGCCCTCGCCCGCCCCCTTCTTCTCCTCCCCCCCGGCGCCGGCGCCCTTCTCCTTCTCGTCCGGCCCGACGGGCGCCAGCTCCCCGGCCCCGCCGCCCGGCTCGCCCTTGCCGCCCAGGCCGTCCGCTTTGGCCCCGTCCAGGGCGCCGGCCGAGGGCGGCGGCGGCGGCGGCGGGAGCAGCAGCTGCTGGGGACCTTTGTCGTCGTCGGGGGCCGGGGCGCCCCGCGCCTGGGGGGGCTGCGGTGCCTGGGGCGGCGGCGGCGGCTGCTGTTGCGGTGGCGGTTGCGGGGCCGGCGGCGGCGGGTGGTGGTGGTGGTGGTGGTGGTGGTGGTGGTGCTGGGGGTGGTGGCTGTTGTGGTGGCCGTGGCTTGCGTGGTGGTTGTCGTTCTGGACTGCCTCTGGCACCAGGCTGTTGATGCTGAACGAGGACTTGGGGATCATTTTCACCTCTTTCCTATCTCCCATGTCCAGCATCACCCAGTCGTCGAGGGGAAGCGGCGGCGGCGCGGGAGCGGGGCAGCGGCGCAGCGGGCGGCGGCGACCGGTGGGTGTCGAGCGGGTCGCGGGCGGCGCGGGCGGCGGCAGCGGCACTGAGCGCTCCGGCAGCAGCGCAGTTGGACCGCAGGCTCCGGCGCTGGCAAGTCATGTAGCAAAAGCAGCAACCACCCCTCAGGAATTAGAAGGAAAAAAAAAAAGGAAAAGAAAAAAAGAAAGAAAGAGAAAAAGAAACAACCACCGCCCCGGGGGTGAAGCTCCCTCGCTCCCAACTCTACTTCTAGGTCTCCCCCCCACCCCCCGCTCCCCCCCCCTCTGCTGCTTCCTCCTCCTCCTCCTCTCTCAGCAGCAGTCACAGCAGCAGCAGCAGCAGCCCAAAGGGGGGGAGAGCCGGGCGGCGGGCGGGCGCGTCCCGGAGCGGCCGCGGCGAGGCTGGGGAGACAGCGATCGAGGCGGCTATAGCCACAATTAATTTTCCGAGCTACAGGCGCACACTAGGGCTGTAAAAAAATTTTTGGTTTAACCTTTCCTACCGCTGGGCCAATCAGAGCCGGCGGCGTGCAGGAGCGTCTCTCCTGCCGTCGACCAATCAGCGGGCCCAGGCCCACCCACCCACGCCCCGCCCACCGGCTCCCGCCCCCTCCGGTGCTCACCTCCCCCTCTCCGCGGGCCCCGACCTCGCGGAGCGGCGTAAGGATACGCCGACGGGAGCACGCTGCGCCGCGGCCCTCTCCGCGCCCCCTGCGCCCCCTGCGCTCCGCGGGACTGCTCAGCCGAAATCCCCCTCTTAGGGCCAATATCTCACATTTCCGCCTCCCTTCTCACTGTATTGGGTCATTTTCGTTTGAGCGTCGGTATTTGTCCTTATTGATTAAAGTTTGTATTCCATTTTATTTTTAAAAGCGGCGGCGGCGGCGAGAAGAGTGGGAGTGCGGGGAGAGGGTGTGAGGAGAGGGCAGGAAATGGAGGAGGAAGAGGCGAGGCACTACTGGGTCCTACTTTCCCCAGGCGGCCCGGCGGGCGGGTCTGGCCCTGGCCCTTAGGAAAGCGGTGCCCCCGGGGGTGACCCTCCGGCGAGGCTTTGGGTGGCGGTGGAGGGAAGGCCCACCCCTGGCGTGGGGAGGGGGTGCCCTACACCTTCGGGGGAGGAGGGTCTGGGAGAGGTTTGGAAACGTCGGGATGAGGAGGAGGAAGTGGGCTGGCAGGCGCGGGGCAAAACAGGGGTTACTTACTCGGTTCCCGTGGCCTGGGCGGCGCGAGCTCGGGGCTCGGGGCTCGGGCGCCGCCGGGAAGCCGGGCCTGGGGCTCGCGGCGCGGCGGCGGCGGGCGGGGGCGGCTCAGTGGTGGGCGCCTGTGATGGCCTTCCGAAATGAGGGGTGCTCAGAGAGAAAACAATACCAAACAGTCTCGAAATAAACCAGGTAACACATGCTCTCTATGTGTGTCTCTTCCTTCCCCGTCTGTCCTGCTCCAGACCGTCGCTCACGAGCTGGGCGACTCCTGTCGTTTTCCCCTCGCCGCTCCGGCGTCTCCTCGGCTTCCGATCCGAACTGGGAGCGAGTGGTCGCGGGCGATCACCCTGGAAGTGTTTTCGTCTTGCTTGTTGACATTGGAGGGGAAATAAGAGTGGGAGTCTATTTCTTTTCCATCTTTTAAAGTCTTCCTATTTTCACCCCGTCTTTTCTTTCCGTTTCTGAAATGCTTTTAATTTGTTCAAGCCTTAATCCCGAAAGAACCGCATACCAAACCAGCGCTTTCCCGCCCGCAGTGCTGGTGGAAGGCACCCAGGAGCCTTGGGAACGGGGGTCCCACAATCCCAGCGTCTTGGGCATTAGGACTGGGAAGGTTCGGCTGAGGGCTGAAGTGAGAGGGGAGATTGTGATTCGGGGGCTTTAAAAGGATCCCGTGGCCAGGGGCAGGGCTAAGGCCCAGCATTTCCCAGGGATTGGAATTTGGTTCGAAGCACACTGATCAAAGGCTGTTTCATCCCATATGGGCACGAAACACACCACTTTTTACTGAGGATGTAGGCCGAGAGAAGAGAGGGGTACACAAATGAAAAGTACTTTTCCCCCCTCTCCTCTATAACGTAAATGATCATAAAATGTAAACATTTCTTAACTTGGATGAACTCTCAAATATCTGGCAGATGCGATGTTTAAGAAAACGAAGGGAGAAAAAAACGGTGTGACGTTAAATTTCAATCTTAAGAATGCACTCAATGAATACTCGGGTTAATAGGGAATTGTTCCACTCTTTGTACCCCACCTTCACCTTGAAATTCTGAGAGAATAAACTCTGAAGAGAAAAATAGACTGTTACGAAATAGGTAGTGATTTTTAGAACATGTTTCTATTAGGAATGCCATAAAGGAGCTTTGAACATTGGACTAACCTCAACTATTCTTCTGCTGTATGTATGTATTCCGCCCCCCCCCCCCCCAATTCCTGCATATTTTCTTACTTTAAAACAAACTATATTTACACGTGTGGGGAAATTCAGGGGTTTCAGCTATCAACGTTGATAGTGACATGGCCCCCAACATTGACTTCTAAGCTCAGATTTCTTACAGAGCTAATGGGTTTTTTGGACCAGGCTGGAGAGAGATCTCTGGGCCTTCCTTTTCCTGCTCACTTTTCCTCCTCCCACCCTTCTCTCCTCAGGCCTGTTATTCCTACTTTTCCTCAACTGGCTTTCCCCCCTCCTCCCCTCTTCCACCTCCCTCCTCGCTCCCCCACCCCTTCTCCTCCCTGTATTTCTCTCCCTCTCTCCATTCCTCCACCTACTCCTCCCCGTTTCTCTCCACCTCCCACAGCCCCCCTTCCCGTCGCCACTTATAATGGCACACAAGGGCTCCCTCTGAGGTGGACGGCCCGGTACGTTTTCGTAGTCGGTCTAGCGTGAAATGATTCGGTGTAACCGGATTCTTGGGAAAGGACAGGTTACGTAAACATTTACTGATGTGGAGTAACTATACTATTTGTACTCTGATATGCAGGAAGGAAAGTGTTGATTAACACAGAAGAAAAAAAAAGCGAAATTAGCTGATTGCATGCTCATAAGTGCAAGCTGTCATTGAACTGCTTTTAAAATAGACACAGCTGGGTGTTTGTGTTGAAAAATTTCTTGTGTTTTTGCTAATACTGAAATAAGCATGATTTTGTATACCAAACATTTTCAGATCATTAAAATTTGTAATCTGTGCTGGTTTTAAACACAAAGAAAAGAAACAGAATCATTTCGATGTAAAATTTGCTGATATTATATTAACTCAATCAGGTCTGTACAAATTGTGCATTGTGCCTCCTAAAATCTGTTTGATCAATTTAATACACAAAGTGCCAAACGTGGGTATTGTTTGTTAACATTGGGCATTTTATTCAAATCCAAGCTCAGCAGCAAACTGGAGGAGCATTCCTTGAATACAACACTAGCCCTGACTGATGAATTTTTAATGTTTGAAGGTGTTTATTAGGTCAAAGCTGAGTGTGCATTGTTTTTGTAATCCTGCTTGAAATTTTAGCAGGTGGAAATAAGTTTTTATTCTGTTTACTTTCAAATAGCAAAAACTGGAGTCTGCTAATGAGAGCTGTAATAATCTGATTTTATGGCCAGGAGCTTATATTGACTGGAAAATATTTTGCATGCAAATTAATAATGTGTTATATTATTTTAAGGATTGAATAAATGCATGTCTCCCAAAATAGGATATCTGTGTAGGAATAAATAGATTATAGTTTTCTATGATCATATTAAAGGTATAGGCTCCCTAATGCAAAAGGTAATTTGCAGTTTTGGGTGAAGTGAGTTTGAATTCCTGTTAATAATTTTAATTGGACTTTGTGGTGAGATAGTGCCACATATAGGTGTGGGGGTAGGTTTGTTGAACAAAACTTGCTCTGTTTACTCAGCAGCCCACATTTGTCTCAGCAATGGCTTCTTTTTAGAACTGCTACTAGATGAAATGGGGGGGGGGGTGTTCTTGGATGGAGTATTTTGCAAGTTGAAAGTCCCTAGATGAAGCTGTGTATATCTTACTGGACAATTTGGGTGCAAACTGGATTTAAAGGACTGCCCACGTCCACTTCAGGCTTCTTTCCTAAACACACAAAACCCCTAACTCTGTATTTCCACCTCTCTCCTTCTCAGTGATTATTGTCAGAAGACAGAGGGCGTCCATTGGCCTCAGATCTAAAACAAATTCTATATCATCCTAATATTTTCTTATCAGCAACCTAATTTTGATCTTTCATACACTTACATCTGCAAATGTACACTGTTAACGAATCAAAGCCTAAGTCAGAGCAAATGTAATTTTCTGGTATATATCGCGGTGAACTTCTTTCCTCCTCTTGTCTTCTGTCTCCCCCCCACCATCACCACTCCCCAAAGGGCAGATCTTGTAAAGAGTGAGCAGTTCCAACGGAAGAATTGCTTGGGAAATGAATTAGATTATCCCGTTTCTAGTTGTAATTAATAACCAAGGCTCCACAGCCTATTGCATTTGAGTAGGGAACAGCACATTACTTTTTCCATTTGGCGGTGTTACATTGTCTTCCTTGGGGCCTATTTCCTGCTTTTGGTGCTTCCCCTATTTTTCCCTTGTTACCTGCTGGTTAAAGGAGGGCAAATCATTTCTACCTAAAATCCACCCTGCACTCGGCACCCTGGTCAGGGTATCTGTGAAGGGGCGCCCAGTGTGGATCTCTGGTTAAAGCTCTCTTCCCGCAGATGCTCAGGCAGTCCCTGACCCCGCGACGTTTGGGAGCAAGCGGAACCCGTGCAGAGGCAACCAGGTATTTCCAGAGATCCTGTAATGAGCGAGGTCCGCCCTCGCTTGAGCCAACTCCTCTGTAATCCTTTCCTAACAGCAGGTAATGGTGCTAACATTTAGTGATTATAAATTACTCTTTAGCGTGTTGTATCCTTGTTCTGTGGGTTTTGGTTACAGGTTATACGATTAGGTTTGCGAGAACAGT